CTGCATAGAAGAACATCGATCTTTGTCTGATGGCGCAGACCGTCAAAACATTTTAACATACATCAAACAACAGAATAAACTACAGCAACAGTAACTATACAGACTCAAAGACAAAAAACAACAAGAACAAACAACACCAGCCGGACCATCGCAGAATCGCGAACAGAAGGGCATTCATTCATTCTCATTTTACCTTTTTTCTATCTTTCCTTCTTATTCGAGCGACATATTTCATAATTTCAGATGACACTACCTCTGAGAATAAATGTCAATTAAGGGACAGCCTAGTGGAATTTCAAGAACTCATATATCAAACTATCATGTTACATAGCTATAATATAATTTAATTATAGAATAACTAAAAAATTTACTTCTCATAATGTAAAATATATCATAAAGGAGACATACTTCAGAATTTTCAGATTTGGCAAAACCAGCCGCAATTCTCCCAGAAGCTAAACCTAAGACACGACTGAATACAAGTGGTTTATTGGGAAGATGATTCCAGAAAATATCAGTGTGGGGTGGGCTAGAAAGAGGTTGGCAGATAGATAGAGAGAGAGAGAGAGAGAGAGAGAGAGAGAGAGAGAGAGAGAGAGAGAGAGAGAGAATTATGCATCTTTGAGAGTAAAATATAAGTATTTCAAAAAGTTAACCTAATAGGAATACACAAACAACATTAAGTTTAACATAATTTCATTTTTATGTGTCTTATTACTTTTAAGAGTAGATAATCCACTGGTCCTTTTTAAATCAAACATGCTCATTTGGAGGGTGGCAGTGGCTATAGGGAGATCAGAGTGCAAAAGAGACAACATTTACTATATAAAAACATTATGATATACTAACTATACTCAGTAATTTCCTAGGCAAGAAATCACAGATATAAATGAATGCTAAAATTAACTTTTAAGCAATATGGTTGCCCAAGGGAAAACTTATCTTTTTGAATGGAAGTAATATATTAGAACATCTTCTCTCATAGTTTTAAGTGCGTTTTTTTTTTTTTTTTCTTTTAAAGAGATAGAAGTCTTATTTCACTCTAAGGAGAGGAAGCATTTGAACATTATGAAAATCCCTCTGAGGCATGGAAAGAAGTGTCAATATCCACTTCAAAAAAATCATTAATGGTTGGCTAATTACTCAACTATGTCTGATAATTTTTAAAAAATGCTAAGTTGAAGTTGCATTTGTCCTGTGAAATATAAAATTTTGCAAATTTTACAGAATACAGAATTTAAAAGTAACTTAAATGCTTGAAAGAATAGAGATAACTATATTACCCAGTATTTAACTTTCATATGTGATTTAAAGGAAGTTTCCTCTAACATCATGTGAGATCTTTTAGAGCTGTTTACATAATGATAGCCCCTAACAATAGTCTTTAATTTTAAAAATCCCATTCCAGGTTTTTGGAAGGAAATAAAAACCCAAGCAAACTGAATCATAAAGAAATGCCCTGCTAATTTTTTTAAAATTGGATTAAAATTATATAATGTTTCATAAAAAGCAATTACACTCAAGTTATTTTGACAGTAATTCTTAAAACTTAAAATGCACATATAAAACATAGAATACTGACATTTTCCTCCTTTTTATTACTTTGTAATAGGTAGCAAAAAAAATCCCTGAAGTATATATAAGAAACTTTATGTATACTTATACATAAAATAAGCTAAGGGAAAAAAAGAGTCTATGAAACCAAACCACTTACCCCTGTTCCCGGGCCCTGATACGGCTATGAGCCAAGACCTTATCATAATGGCCATTGGCTTTTGCAGGGTTAACAACAAACAGCAAGAGTAGAGAAAATATGGGTAAGAAAGGAATCATCTTTAGTCTCTCCGTTGCAGTGAGTCCACGAAGAGAACTGGCAGTGGGCTTTGCAGAGCTCAGAGTTTATATACATGTCAGAGCTGTGGGAGGGAACACTGTATCAACCTGAGAATCTGAACTCCCTCCAAGAAACATCAGCAACTTCAAGTTGCCAGCTAAAATCTGTTTTGGTTAGTTATATTTACAGAAACACATTGAGCTGCTTTTTTCTTCTCATTATAAAGAAAATATTCATTCTAAATCATATGAACGTCTGACTCATTGAATGTTTATATTTCCATTTTATTCTTTTGTACTTCAGGGGTTTTTATGGAAAATGCTTTAGTTTGAGTTTTAAGGACTGTTCTGCAGTCTGTCCCTATCAGATTTCATGTCTGTGTGTTCAAGATTATTATTTGATCTTATCACAGCTTGTCATATTCAGTTCACATCAGAACTGAAAGGTTAGTATTTTTCATAAGAAAACAAAGGTAGATATAAGTCTGATGATCACAAAGGAATAATAGCTATTGGTTAAAAACAAACTCAGGGTAGATTTAAAACTTGCATAAAATATGAAATAAGAGTTCTGACTTGCTGACAAACATCTAGGGAAGTCCACATTTTTCCTACAGACCTATTAAACTGGAACAATACCTCTCATTTCCGTTCTCCTTTCAAATATCAAGGAATACAGAGAGTTAACATAATTCCACTTCTGGCAAGTTTCCCTAATTTTTGAAATACAGCAGAAAGGAAAAACATTTGTGCTTTATTATTTTTTATTACATACTTCATATGATATTGAACCTCTCCACACAGCACGTCTACTGATAACCACTGGTCAAAATAGCCCCTATTAGAAACAAGTATTATTAATCTAAAAATAATAGAATAATTAAATACATATTAAGAAACAGGGACATTGCCAAAATGATTCTTCTTCTGATTTTATCAAGAGTAACTAAAGCCTCTTAATATTACATTACAAAATCCCAAGCTAAGGCAATGTGCATTCTTACAGCTTCACACATGCCAAACATTCAGAAAATCTTAGATAAAGGAAATATGAATGTCAGAAAACAGCAATAAGCTGAAATGATAACTGCAGCCTACTGGAATAAACAAGTTATACACCATCCCACAGTAAATGTGCCATTCCAATACATTTTGTTGCAAAGTGCTTACTTTGTAAGAGCGTATCAGTGTTGCCTTCCCACTGGTGATGTACATAAATTGCTTCTGAACTCTCCATGTTGTCCAACTGGGGGACAGTCCAAGTAGGGGAGGCTGGATTAGGCCAGAGAGGATGCTCGGTGTCGGAAGAGTTATGTCTAAGTTTACTGTTGAGTTTTGCCTTAGGGAGATAAAGTAATTCTGCAAAGTGCTGCTTAGTTTGTTAAGAAAGCATACAATGAAATAACAAATTCTGAAATATGATTCAGAATCCTCTTGAATTTTAAAATCTTGGTATTAAGGTATTGAAAAGAAAGGGATAATTCAAAAGGAGAGCTAGAGAGAAGATAGCATAAAAATTAAATTATATTCCTTTCCCAGTCTCTCATGGAAAGGAGAGTATTAATCTTTCATTTACATTTCTCTGACTGGAATCATTCTAACTTCATCTGTATGTTTCTGGTTTGCTTTGTATAATAGCTGTTTATTACTCTTACCGTATGCAAATGGTAGGTGGTCAGTAATTTCTTGAGTAGGACATAGAATTGTTTTATGAAAATTAGTTCTACTTAATATCATTAAATTAGCTGCTAGGACATTCTTGTTAATATAGTTATATAACAGTCTTCAATGCTAGGCTGCTTAGACATGATTATTTACTTCCTAAAACATAATAATAGAATTTTAGAATTACAGAGGAATAAATAAAACTTGATGTATTCAACATCTCCAGCATCACCACCTATAAATAGTCATTCACTCTTTATTGGCATGCTCACTGCTATTAATGCAACTCTTTTTATTTTTATATAGCTGTGACTGTTTATAATTTTTTTCTGTCATGAAAAATATCTGAAATCTATTAAAAATCCAATGGGGCTTGATGAGAGGTGAAGAATGAAGTATTCAGAGAAAGAGATATAGACTTGATTAATATGTAACAAGAGTAAAACAAAAAAGGTCTTTTTAAATACAGTCCAGAATGATAACAGATAGACTTGATTATGATGATAAGGGGTGAAGGCAGAATCAAAAGTTCCTACCATGTTATCTGCTTTCTTAATAGAGCCTACAATGAATTGAAAATATATTGATTTTTTTTCAAGAACAATTTTGACCTAGGTGTTTCTTGTGACCACAGTTTTATCCATTGGAATCAATGATTTCCATTCATCCTGACTCTTTCAGTCTAAATGGACAAATAATTGCATGAAATGAGTAGTGAAGATGGAAATGCATTCATATTTCAAAAGATTACTGCTCTCTTCTGACAAATGAGACAGGTTTGACATTTTTTTGTGGAAAGTGTGATATGTGCTCGAACAATAAAAAGAGGGATCTTAAATCTTTCTTTTCATAATTTCAAATAATGGAGATCTTAAATCTATGCATTCTGAGCATCATGTTTGGAACTTGTATAAGTTCTATGGAAGTCAACAAATGCCAGCCCTCAACAAGTATTTACAATTAGGATTAGTAATGATATCAAGCAGGATCTTGAAAATGAGGGCCAGGTTGTGCATATAAACTACAAATTTAAAAGTGGGAGAACATGCCAAGAGAAATAAAATTTTAAGGTAAATATGAAAAGATTATAGCACTGTAATTTAAAAAGCTGAAGCCAGTCCAGAAGTGTGATATTATATGCTTGATAGTGGGAGAAAGTCTAAGCAACTACTTTATCCAGGACCCTGGCTGCAGGAAGGCTGATGATTGAACCCTGATTCATAGCTGACAGTTTGGAGTAGAGTGAGGGAAGTAAACAGCTCCAGAGAATGGGAATAAAAGGTGGTTCAAGTTCTAGAGAAGATATTGACAGATTTCGGGAAGAACGTAATTCATCACTTTCAGAGGGCTTATCAAGGATCAAATTTGCTTTCTTACTCTCTCTCCTTCTGTCTCTCTTCACACAGGACCCTTATTCTTCTGCCCCATGAAAGGATGCTGACCCTGGGTTGGCCACGTCCTTTTCTTAGCAGTTGAGAGGAAGATTGAAATCATGATAATTAAGTCTGACTTGCAGGGTTGCAAAGTCTGACCCTGAAATGTTAAGTCATTAGTGAAAAAGAAATGGTTTATTATGTAACTGAAGTGAAATAATGTGTCTTGAAGACAGGGACATTTGTTTCTAGCTATCAGGATGCTAATTTACTGGTAGTTTGCAAATTATCTAGTGAATCTTTGTAATAAGGCTTGTAACCTTTGGAGACCACGAAGTCACTGTAATGCCATGCTTACTGTCACCAGCATGTATCCAGGCTTAAACTTACCCTACACTGTATAGGATCGGATATGGCCTATATATTCAACAAACCTGGATACACTTAAGCCAAAGCAGATTTTTTATAACCAATATTTCCTTGGTTTTGAATGATCCAGGGTAGGTATTTGCACCAAATTATTTCTAAGCCACTGCTTTTCAACATATGATTCATGGGATATTGAAAACATTCCTTATCACCTTGCCTTTGTTCTGGCCTAACTGTAAATTACATGTAATATAATTTATTTTTGAAATATGGGAAAGCACTGCCCAGTGTCCAACTATCTTGGCTAGTGAGGGTCCCATTCTTCCCTAGTACTTGGGTTAGCAGCCCTATAAATGATCTTTTGTCCCTCTTTGAAATATACATACAGCCAAAATAAAATTGAACATCAATGACCAACTTGAAGAGGTTAAAAAGGCAATATATAGGCTCAGATATTTGTGGCTGGACACATTGTAAAGTCTACAAGGAGGGACAACTTCTAAGCCATCTTTTTGGTATCATATTCGCATGGATTTCTTCTGTGTATACCCATAAATCTTCAAAGAGTATTCTGACCCAACATATCTAAGATAATTAAATCATATTCAGAGAAAGAGATGATTAACTATACCCCAAAGTAATTGTTAATTCATTTAGAAGCAAGCCAGAAGGCTTTCTGTGATAAATGTGGTTAGTATGCCATCTTTCCTACAGAAAATTAAATGTTCACTTCCTTTAAAAGCCTATCAAATGACAAGTCTCACATTTATATTAAGTACTCAATCAATGTAACTACTTGACCCTAATTGAATTGGGTACTTTTGCAATTTTAAAAATGTGTGCTTTTTAGCAGTAATTTTTGTTAGCAGTATTTGCTTATATTTCTCTGGAGACATCTAGTGGAGAAAGTACAGTAATACAATTTTTCTAGAAGTGCAGATACTGTCTACTACATTTTGATTAAAATAATAGTCAATATGGAATTCAAATGAAAAAAATCTTAAACATTTTACCTGCATTTAAAAATTCCTGGATTAATAGTGATCCCTTACATAAAATCTTTTAAAGCTGGTACAGATTGGCCCCAATAAGTGATGCAAATCTGGATAAAAGTTGAAAAATCTGGTCCTATTTTTGCATGCATGTGGCTGAAAAACAAAACTCATTTTTTACCTGAGTTTTTTTCTACATTTACATAGAATAATGACATGTGGATAAGAAATTATGACTGAATTTTTCTACTCTAAATGATTGGAAATAATCACTCCTGCAGTCTAATTGCATTCGTTGATTCCCTCTCACATTCCTGCACCTGTTATTTCTCACCTCTGATGCCGTCTATATTGTTGACATTATGCCTTTCATCTTCTCTCTCATTTGGATCTGGATGATTTTGTTTGAGAAACAATTAAGACGATATTCATCATCTGTCTCCTGCCCACAAATAACTTCTAATATTCCTTCAGCTTAGACTGCAAGATGAAGGGATGGATAATTGCTGCAATTAAAAGAACTCTGTAGCCATCTATCTTTTATAGTACTGGAATTTCACCATCCCATCTGGCACATTTGGTCTGCTGACAGAATGGTCTCAATTATGATAACTTCATAATTTGCATTCATCCATTTATCACTCTCCTTGGAGCCTTTCCCTCTGACATAGAAATACTCTCAGGTCCC